AGGCCGTGGGCGGGTGCAGGGGGCAGAGCAGGGATGAGGCCGTGGGCAGGTGCAGGGGGGCAGAGCAGGGACGGGGCCGGGGACAGAGGGGGACAGGGCCATGGGCAGCTGAGGGAGTCAGGCTGGGTGATCCACCTGCCACGGAGCCACACCCTCCAGGGCTGAGTGCCTCGGCGCCTGGCCGTTTCAGTGGGAGCAGTTGTGTTAGGTAGCTCGGCACTGACTTCCAGACGTTTCCTCAGAAAAGAAGAAGGCAGGGAATTCAGAACAAAGAGGGGGTGGCTTGAGAAGCCCTCCCTGGCCTGGGGTCTTGGCCTCCCATTCATGCCCCAGGCCTGCTCCCGCAGCCAACCCCACCCTGGCAGAAGCACCCGTTCTATTGGCCATGAAACTGCAAGAGTGCTTCAACTAGTTTGTGCACGTTTATTTCAGTACAAAAATACTTGCAAATCCATGTGCGTGAGTGGCATTCAAAGAGTTCATAAAAAACATGGAAGAATTTCCAAACCTCTTTGCACCAAAATAAGCTTCCATTTTAATGCCTCTGCCATGAACCTGGGCGGCCCACACCGCCTGCTCCGGGCAGTCCGAGTCCTGGGCTGCAGGCGCTCGTCTCTCTGATTCTCTCTACAGCGTCCCGGAGGCGCCCAGGAGGGGCTTTGTGGAACTGAGCTCAGCGGCCTGAGACCACCTGGATTTTCGGCAGCGGAGCTGGAGCCGAGACTTCCCTCCCACAGCTCCCGGCACTGCTCCTCCTCTGCTGCGATGGACGCTTGCGTGCTGCTTCCGGGCGGCACGTGCATCTTCCGTCACGCCGCCCCGGGCTCCACTCTGACTCTGCCAACCAGAGGGTTCCGCACCTGTGACCCTGCTCACACCCTGGGAGTCTGCCCACCGGGCTGCGTGTGCGCCTCGGGGTGTCCGTACCTTCCACCTCACCCAGCACCAGCTCGGAGGCCGTCTGCCCCTCTGGGATCCCTGCTGCCCACCACGTGTAGTGCCGTGCGTTCTCAAACACGCACTGCACACACACGTGTGCACCCGCACGGAGCTCAGGCCAGCTGCACTTTCCTTCAGGAATCAAGATCCGTTCCCACTGAGGAATGGGACCAGGTGTGGGCCAGAAGAGGCTTCTCCCAAAACGACCCGACCACCTGCGGCTGGCAGACTTGGAAATGTACCTCATCCAGTGCCGTCTCCCCCGCCAGCCCGTTCCCAGGCCCGGCGCGCTCCTGTCTTCTCTGGCACTCTCGGTCAACAGGGCTGTGCTGGCTTCCGCCTCAAGGGGCCCCGCACCCGCTCTGGGCTTCCGTGAGGGATGCCTCGGCCCTGCAGCCCCAGCGTCCCCACAGTGAGCCTGGGCCCCCTGCCTCTGCACGCCACGCTCCTGGAACCGCTCTTCTCTCTCCATCCCCTCAGCCAGGACCTGCTGTTGGCTCTGCCCTCGCACCAGGCTCTGCCTCTCTGCAAACCTCCAACACCCCGGGCAGCTCCAGCCCAAGAGGTCCTGATGGTCCCTCCCCTTCCTGCGTCCACCTCTGTTCTGGGAAAGTCTCCATGTGGCCGTCACCTTGCAAACACCCAAGGGACTCCTAATGCATGTCCAGGCCGGGCTGCCTGCGCCAGGAGTCCTGCACTCTCCGAGGATGGCCTGGGCATCAGCATTCTGCCAATGTCCTCCGTGCAGCCGGGCTGAGGCCCATGGGTCCATCGCCGGCAGGTGGGGCTGCCGTCAGCCCTGCATGGACTCCAGCACACATCCAGCACGACGCACACCGGCGGGCACCTGCCTGTGGGAGGACCCGACCCCAGCCCCTACCCCAAGACGCAGCCGTCAGACCCGCAGGGGCACCCCTTCCTCCAGACCCTGACCTCTAAGTACCGGATCACCGCACAGCCAAGAGGGAGACACAGATCCGCCCTCCAAGGCCATCCAGTGTTTCCTCATGGTCTGTTTTTGTTACACATGCAGGTGGAGAACCACTCCCAGCCCCAGGTGCCCAGAGGCCGCCCCTCTCTGCTGCGACACGCGTGAACTCGGCAGCCTGATGTCTGAGCACACACACGGAGACGCTGGGCAGCAAAGCACAAAGAAAAGATGACTATCTGACTTCAAAATTGCAATTCCCAATCACCAAAACCCCAAGCAAAAGGCAGGAACACCATAGTTAAGGAGAAGAAAGATATACCACAGCCTGAGAGATGAATCCTAGAATACAGAAAAACAAATGTTAGCAGCCAGAACATTCAACATCGATTAAAAAAAAAGGCAAAAACCTGGGCGAAAATTCCAGCAAGAAACTCGCCAGAGAGGAAATGCGAGTCTGACGGGGACAATGACACGCAGCCAGGGAGGCCCCGGGATGGGGACAGTCACTGTCACGTCAGGAAGGCAAAGCCCATCTGAGTTAACAGACGGACACATGGGAACTCCGACACGGCACTGCAGGGCGGACGATGGCCCTGGGGCCACACGCAGAGGGAGGCGGCCGGTCTCCTCCCTCAGGCCAACTGAGGGAAGAGAGGGACAGGCAGAGCCAGCGCTCCAAGGCCATCCACGGGGCTACGCGCTGACCACACACACGTGTGGGATTCATGGGCTCCCTGGCCAGTCGGGCTGGAACCCAGCCCCGGGAAAGTGTCTGGGGCAGGCACTCGTAGCCCACGTGGTCTCGGCACCCTGCCACAGAGAGGCCCAGCCCCGTCGCAGGTGAACGGTCCTGCCCGTGCGTTAGAAAGCTCGCCTCAGCTGCAGCCAGCTCGTCCCCGGCCCCCGGAGACCCCCACCCAGATCAGAAACTGGGTGGGCCCAGCAACGTGTGCACGGACCACTTCCCCGGTGACTGCTGCTCGCTGCCATCTGAGGGCCACAGAACCCAGAGAGATGAAGGTGGAAGGAAGGAGAGAGACGGAGGAGCAGGACTCCCTGCGAGCGACACACGGGCCCGGCCACAACACAAGAGTCCTGCCGGGGAGTGGGGACGATCCCGCACTGGACACACTGAGTCTGGGGCAGCTCTGGTCACGCGAGAGGCACACGGGGCCACAGGGCACTGGAGCAGGGGCTTAGAGAGCAACACCAGCGCCCGGGAGAAGCAGTGAAATCCTGGCGTCCCTCACAGAGGAGGCCCCACACAGAGAGCTGAGGACAGGCAGAGGTGAGAGAGGGAACAGCGGGAAGCTGGCCACCCAGAGCCTGGGCTGCTCCCACAGGGCAGAGGACGCTGGCTCTGTCCCAGCCTGGGGTGGCCCTGCACACCACTCCCCACGGCCGACGGGGGCAGCGCAGCCAAGCTTGCACTCTCGAATCCCCCCACGGAGAGCGCCCCTCCTTCCTCCTCAGGGCCGCTGGCTTCCTGCCGGGCCGGCACTAGGCTCCCGAGAAGACAGTGGGCAGACGGGGATGGGCCAGGCACTGACGCCGGGCTGCAGGGCGTGGTCAGGAGTGGGCGGGGAGCCGAGCTGACCCCAGGTGAACCTCGGGTTTCTCAGCAAGGTTGACAAAGGGCTGTTCTTTGTCCTCTCTCTGCTCTCACTGCACGTGTGAAGGGAACACGGCCAGGCTGCTGCTCACAACCTCTGGACACCACGTGAGAACGCCAGCAACACCCCGGACAGCAGGGGGGAAGGGAAGGAGTCAGGTCCACTGCAGTCCCACAGGGCACCAGGCCACGCTGCACCTGCCACGGAGCACCAGGCCACACCGTGCCTGAGCAGCACCTGCCACAGAGCACCAGGCCACACCGTGCCTGAGCCACACCTGCCACAGAGCACCAGGCCACACCACACCGGAGCCACACCTGCCACGGAGCACTAGACAATGATGCACCTGGTCATCACCTGCTGTGGAGGACCAGGCCACACAGTACCTGAGCTGTACCTACCACAGAGCACCAGGCCACGCCATGCCTGAGCCACACCCTCCACAGAGCACCAGGCCACACCGTACCTAAGCCACACTGTACCTGAGCCACACCTGCCACAGAGCACCAGGCCACACCATACCCAAGCTGTGCCTGCCACAGAGCACCAGGCCACACCATACCTGAGCACACCTGCCACAGAGCACCAGGCCGGCCACACCGTATCTGAGCCGTACCTGCCACAGAACACCAGGCCACACCATGCCTGAGCAGCACCCTCCACAGAGCACCAGGCCACACCATACCTGAGCACACCTGCCACGGAGCACCAGACCATGATGCACCTGGGCAGCACCTGCTGTGGAGGACCAGGCCACACTGTACCTGAGCCACACTTGCACCCGCACTTCTCAGTTGCGTAAGCCAGGAATGGCCTCACTTTTTTCCAGTTAAGCAAGGCTGATGTGCTTTCTGGGCATTTAAAACAGGAAGAATCCCAGTCACTACCAGAAGCAGACCCAGCGATACACACCCTGCGGCGGAGACGTGGCAGTACCCGAGTGTGGGTTCCCGGGGCAGGGGCCCTGGGGGTCCCAACTCCACAGCCACGCAGAGGGAGATGGAATCCCATCCACAGGATGACAGCCATGTGTGGTCAGGAGCGCTCGTGGAATTCTGGGAAAGCAGGGTCACGCACACAGGATGCACCCTGAGGTCCTACGAGCCTCCCCAGCCTCACACCAGCGGTTCTCCCTCCCGTGGCTGCCAGAAGGTCCTTGGGGAGGGGTTCGGGACATCGGGTCCTGTGGCCCAGCGTGTCAGGTGACTTCCGTGGCTCCTGCACCGGAAGTCAGGTGGCCGCAGACAGAACACCTACTTGGGTTTTCTTCTTTGGGTTGCTCCATCCGGGTTCCCTCCCGTCTCCTGGCTTAAGGCATCGCCTGCCAAGTCTGGAGCCCACTTGGGTTTCACCCACCCACAGCACGTGGTCTCTGTGCCTGGGAGCCGAGGTTTCTCTCCCATGTGGCACACTTGTCCCCCTGTGCAGTAATCCACACCGATGCCACACAGCACAGGGGACGTGGCTCTCACTGTCACAGACTCCTGCGTCCCAGAGCAGTGCAGTCTGCGGGCACGGACAGGGAACACGCGTGTTTCATACACACGGACACACATCACGTAACAGCCCAGCGTACGTGCTGCCTGGGTCTCCCGTGCCTGTCCGCCATGTTTTCCGCTTCCTCCCCTATCTCCGACCTCTGCCATTTCTGCGTTTCCCCTTCAATTCTGCGTCCCGCACAGCACTTCTGTGGCGTTCACACTGTCACAGTTCCTCCGTGCGTCTTTCCTCAGATTCCTCACTGTATTCCTGCTTCTCTGACGTGTCGCCGACATCACCTCAGTGTGCTCAGTGCTCCCTGTGCTCTGACATCACCTCAGTGTGCTGAGTGCTCCCTGTACACTGACATCACTTCAGTGTGCTGAGTGCTCCCCGTGTACTGACATCACCTCAGTGTGCTGGGTGCTCCCTGTGCTCTGACATCACCTCAGTGTGCTGAGTGCTCCCCGTGTACTGACATCACCTCAGTGTGCTGAGTGCTCCCCGTGCTCTGACATCACCTCAGTGTGCTGAGTGCTCCCTGTGTACTGACATCACCTAGGTGTGCTGAGTGCTCCCCGTGCACTGACATCACCTCAGTGTGCTGAGTGCTCCCCGTGTACTGACATCACCTCAGTGTGCTGAGTGCTCCCCATGCTCTGACATCACCTCAGTGTGCTGAGTGCTCCTGTGTACTGACATCACCTAGGTGTGCTGAGTGCTCCCCATGTACTGACATCACCTCAGTGTGCTGAGTGCTCCCTGTGCTCTGACATCACCTCAGTGTGCTGAGTGCTCCCCATGCTCTGACATCACCTCAGTGTGCTGGGTGCTCCCTGTGCTCTGACATCACCTAGGTGTGCGGAGTGCTCCCTGTGCTCTGACATCACCTCAGTGTGCTGAGTGCTCCCTGTACACTGACATCACCTCAGTGTGCTGAGTGCTCCCTGTATACTGACATCACCTCAGTGTGCTGAGTGCTCCCCGTGTACTGACATCACCTCAGTGTGCTGGGTGCTCCCTGTGCTCTGACATCACCTAGGTGTGCGGAGTGCTCCCTGTGCTCTGACATCACCTCAGTGTGCTGAGTGCTCCCTGTACACTGACATCACCTCAGTGTGCTGAGTGCTCCCTGTGCTCTGACATCACCTCAGTGTGCTGAGTGCTCCCCGTGCTGACATCACTTCAGTGTGCTGAGTGCTCCCCATACACTGACATCACCTCAGTGTGCTGGGTGCTCCCTGTGCTCTGACATCACCTAGGTATGCTGAGTGCTCCCTATGCTCTGACATCACCTCAGTGTGCTGGGTGCTCCCTGTGTACTGACATCACCTCAGTGTGCTGAGTGCTCCCTGTGTACTCACATCACCTCAGTGTGCTGAGTGCTCCCTGTGCTCTGACATCTCCTCAGTGTGCTGAGTGCTCCCCGTGCTCTCCCGTGCTCTGACATCACCTCAGTGTGCTGAATGCTCCCTGTGTACTGACATCACCTCAGTGTGCTGAGTGCTCCCCGTGCTCTGACATCACCTCAGTGTGCGAGTGCTCCCCGTGCTCTGACCATCACTTCGGTGTGCTGGGTGCTGCTCTCTGCCCTCATCGTCACCTCACTCTCTGTTTTCTCTTAGTTGCGTTACGTAAGTGTGCTGGAGTCTACACCTTCTTGTACTGAAATAAGCCCCAGATTCGTGGAAGGACCACGCTGCCTCGTGGCTCAGGAGATTGCAAGCAGCCGCTGTGAGTAGTCTGCACTGTAGGATCTCAGGTGGAACACAGCGACGTAACTATGGCAACACGTGGTTCTGGCAGAGACATCGAGGAAAATAACAAAGCCTGGACTGGCCTGATCTTACAGACATGTGTGGGTATTTGTATGACTTCTTATCTAAATAAAAAGTGTCACTGTACCCAACCTGGCTGACATGTATGGGCATATACGACTTAACATATAATAAAGAAGTCCATTTTATATGCTATCTTACTGATATATATGGATATACATGCAACTTACTACATAATGAAAGCATCATTTTACCCAATCTTAAATATATGGTTTGACATATGTATGACTTATTGTGTAATAAAAATATCATTTTGTAACCAGTCTTACAGGTACATACTGGTATATATAGACGACAAACTCCCTAATAAAAGCATGATTTTATACCCAGTCTTACATATACGGATGGACATTCTCATGACTTATTATGACATAAAAGCTTCATTTAGCATCAGTGGGAAGAAGTGTGTAATTCAGTAACCTTGTTGCATGACCCACGTGGTTCATGTGATATGTGCCCGGATTATTTCCAGAGTCAAAGGCCCTCAAGTCTGCTTCCAAAAGTCACATCAGACACTCACCCTTGGTGACATGATGGCTCGAGTTTTACCAACAAAAATATATTTAAAAATGTAGCAGACACTAAAACACAAACACAAGTGAGGAAAAGGCATCAGGACAACACGACGGCACGGCAGCTGACAGCCTGAGCAGGACTCTTCAAGTCTTTATTACGAGCAAGGCCAGGGCCAGCTCAGAAGCTCGGACCCTCAACACCAACACCAGATGGACTGCAGAAACTGGGCCACCAGACCGCCTCTCCAGCCGCCCCGCAAGGCACCATAACCCGAGCACAGGCCTCCTCATGGAGCCCCAGGCTTTCAGGGGACGGCACCAGCACCGATGAGGGTTGGGCAATGCTCGCTGCAGGCCATGGCAGCTGACCCGGGGACGCTGCACCCCACCACCCGGCCACCTGGATGGCCAGGTCCTCCGAATGCACCTGACACTCTGACCGCTGCCCTCTGCTTCTACATCCACTACGATGTGTGCCATGTGGTCATCTGCTTGCAGTCACAACGCACACGGGCGCCAGCATCCCCCAGCCACAGCCAGGGAGTGACCAGCAGTGAGAGGATGCACTGCATGCCCAGGTCCATGAGCTCCCCAGCACGCACGGTAACCGGTGCATGGGCGTTTACCAGAACACATCATAAAAAGCCAGAAAGGTCAGTGGAGGGTCACTTTGTTCCCTGGCTCAAGCGCAGGCAGCTGGAGCCACAGAGCCACCAGTGGGCAGTGCAGTGAGGGTCTAAAGTGGGGCCAGCGTGGGCTGCTCACCCACAGCTCTAACGCTGGGGCAGGAGGGCAGGCGTGCAATGGGTGTGATGACCACAATGGAGTCCACTCATCCTGCTGGGACATCCTTGCTGACAACCACAAATGGAACAGGACCCTCACACTCGCAGGCTCACCTTGCTTGTTTTTTTTTTTTGAATAAACAAAATTCATACACCACTGGCCCAACTAACTGAAAAAAATATAAATCAATAAAATCAGAGATGAAAAAGGAGACGTAACAACAGACACCACAGAAATAAAATGAGTCATCAGAAATTACTACAAACAGCTATTTGCCAACAAATTGCAAAATCCAGAAGAAATTGATAGATTCTCAGACACACACAACCTACCAAATGAGTCACAAAAACATAGAAAACCTGAACAGACCAGTGAATAAGATGGAGGCTCAATCAGTAATAAACACACCCCCAACAAAGCCTGGGACCGGACAGCTTCACTACCAAATTCCACCAGACATTTAGAGACGAAGCAACTCCAGTCCTTCTCAAACTATTCAAAATAATTAAAAGGGAAGGAATTCTCACTAACTCCTTTCTTGAGGTAAGCATCACCCTAATTCCTAAACCAGAAAAAGATACATCAGAGAAAGCAAACTATAGACCAATATCCTTAGAGGACATAGATGCAAAAATTCTCAACAAAATTCCAGCTCATCAGATCCAACAACATATCACAAAGTTCATTCAACCAGACTAAGTGGGATTTATCCCTGGTATTCAAGGATGGTTCAACACACACAAAGCACACAATCTGATACATCACAGTAACAAACTGGGGGACAAAAACCATGTGATTATCTCAACAGATGCAGAGAAAGCATCTGACAAAATACAACACCCTTTCATGATGAAACCTTATGGAAATTGGGCATAGAAGGAACATTCCTCAACACAAGCAAGACAATTTATGACAAACCCGCAGCCAGTGTCCTATTGAATGAGGAAAAGTTGGAAGCATTCCCACTGAGATCCGGTACCAGACAAGGATGCTCACCCTCACCATCACTATTCAATATAGTCCTGGAAGTTCTAGTCAGAGCCATTAGGCAAAAATAGAAATCAAAGAGACACAGTTTCAAAAGGAGGAAATCAAATCATCCCTGTTTGCAGACGGCATGATTCTATATATAGCACAACCAAAAAACTCCACTGAGACACTACTGGAACTCACTGAAGAGTCTGGCCACGTGGCAGGTATAAAGTCAACACACAAAAATCAATAGCCTTTATATACACAGACAATGCCATGGCTGAGAAAGCACTTGTAAATTCAGTCCCATTCACAATGGCCACAAAAAATTTTAATATTTTAATACCTTGGAATAAATTTAACCAAGGAGATGAAAGATGCCAACAATAAAAGTTGCAAAGCATTAAAGAAAGACGGCGAAAAATGGGAAAATCTTCCATGTTTGTGGAAAGAATTAATATCAAATGTCCATACTACCCAAAGCAATTCACATTTCAATGCAATCCCAATCAAAATGCCAATGACATTCTTCTCAGATTTATAAGAAATGGTACAAAATTCATATGGAAACACGAGACTCTGAATAGCTAAAACCATCTTAACAAAGATAGTGGTTTCACAATACTAGATTTCAAGACATACTACAGGGCAGTTATCAGAACAGTTTGGTTCCGGCACAAAAACAGACATGTTGACCAATGGAAAGGACACTCCAAAAACCAGCCCACGCTTCTAAAACCAACTTCTCTTCAACAGAGCAGCTACAATCAATCCCTGGAGAAAGCACCGTCTCTCCAACCAACACTGCTGGGAAAACTGAACCTCCATGTGCAAGACCATAAACAAGACCTCTACCTTATGGAAAATGCATCACGGATCTAAATCTGCAAGTTGATGCTATTCAATTACTAGAGGATGGGGCCCACTGCTGTGCCATAGTGGGTTATGGTGCCACCTGCAGTGCCAGTTCGAGTCCCGGCTGCTCCACCTCCAATCCAGCACCTTACTAATACTCCAGGCAAAGTAGCAGCAGATGATCCAAGTGCTTGGGCCCTGTACCCATGAGAGGACCTGAAAGAAGCTCCAGGCTCTGGGCTTTTGAGTAGCACAGCTCTGGCCACTGAGACCATTTGGGGAGTGAACCAGCAGAATGGAAGACCTCTCTTTCTGTCTCTCCCTCCCTCCCTCCCTCACTCCCTCTATCCCTTGCCCTTAACTCTGCCTTTCAAATACATAAAGTTATTTTAAAATAATTAGTAGAGGCCAACAGTGGGGAAACTCTGCAAGACACTGGCATAGGCAAACACTTCTTGGCAAAGACCGCAGAAGCACAGGTGATAAAAGCCAAGATAGACAAGTGGGATGACATCAAGCTAAGAAGTTTCTACACTGCAGAAGGAACACTCTGCCCAGTGAAGAGGCAACCGACAGAATGGGAGAAGACATCTGCAAGCTATGCCTCTGATCAAGGATTAATATCCAGGATCTATAAAGAGCTCAAGAAACCCAACAACAAAACAATCCTGTTAAGAAACAGGCAAAGGACCTAAACACATTTTTCAAAGAGGAAATCCAAATGACCCACAGACTCATGAAAAAATGCTCAGATCACTAGCCATCAGGAAAATGCAAATCAAAACCACAATGAGGTCTCACCTCACCCAGGTTAGAAATCAACAAACAGCAAATGCTGCCGAGGGTGTGGGGAGAAAGGCGCCCTAATCCAGTGTTGGTGGGAATGCAAACCGGTGCAGCCACTGTGGAAGACAGTTTGGAGATTCCTCAGAAATCTGAATACAGCCCTACCATACGACCCAGCCATCCCACTCCTGGGAACTGACCCAAGGGAAATGAAATCAGGATATCGAAGAGTTCTCTACCTCCATGTTCATTTCAGCTCAATTCACAACAGCTAAGACATGGAATCAACGCAAATGCCCATCATCGGAAGACAGGATGAAGAAAATGCGGAACATATACATTATGGACTATTACTCAGCCATAAAGAAGAATGAAGTACTGTCTTTCAAACAAAATGGATGCAACCGGAAACCTTTATACTCAGTGACAGACGCCAGTCCCCACTGGACAGATACCACCTGTTCCCCTGCTCTGTGGTAACTAGCAGAGCACCGGAATCTACCGTGTGTGAGCGCACTGCCGCCTGCAGACCTGAGGGTTGTTCACGGCGCTTGTCCACT